CGCAGCCAGCAGGCACAAGGAATGCCAGACACTCCCTGCACATGCTGTGGGACGGACGGGGACGGGGTGGCACGTTGCCTGGTCCCCGGTCCCCAACCTCCCCTGTGGCCTCAGCAGGGGACCCAGGCGTCCTGCGGCCCCTGCACGCCCCACCCTGCCTTGGCTTGGGGTGCCAGCCCCTCTCCCTGCACCCAGGGGGGGATGGGGGCAGTGGAGGAGCAACCTGCCCCGTTTCGGGGCTCGGCTCCCCACCCCGGTGAGGCCACCGCCGGCGTGACCCCGGGCTGCTGCCAGGCTCCGAACTTGACCTGTTTTTCCACACGGATCTGCCTGCTGGGAAAAGCAGGAGGGGCGGGAGGAGGGCGAGAGCTGGGGTGAGGCCCCACCTCGCTGGCGCGGCGTCCCCAGCTGCCGCGGGGACAGCGGCACCCGCAGAGGCGAGTGGCACCTGCGCCGTGCCGGTGGTGGGATGCCAGGGGGACGCGATGCGGTCCTGCATCCCCATCCCCACGCGGATGCTCGTGCCTGGCCCAGCTCTCCACTGTGGCGTGCCTCAGTTTCCCCAGCTGGCAGTTCTTCTATGGAGCAGCCTGGGGACACCCGGACAGACGGACGCCACCTCCGTCAGGGCAAGGCGGGTGAGCGGCACTGCTTGGGCCCCAGCCGGGGCGGAGGCGCCGATTTTATCACCGGGCAGGAGCGGCAAAACTGGTTTGGAGCCCGGCTGGAGCAGCGGCACAGCTGGTGTTAGCGAGCCAGCCCTGGGGGGAACGCGAGCTCCCCGCACGCTTCCCAGCAAGCTGCTGGCTCGGAGCTGCCCCATGCTCACCCGGCAAATCCCAGCGGGATCATGAGTTTGTTGGGAGGCGTCTGGGGCCGCCGAGATCAGCTGAGCATCACACGGGTGATGCTCCGCCGCCAGCCCTGTGCCCTGGCGAGCATGTGCGAGCGTGCTAATCCCCGACGGCTGGTTAGCAAATGGTCTCCTGCCTTGGATTGGGGCTGGGGGGGGGGAGGGGTTATGCGGGGTTAATAGCTGGGGAGAAGCTGGGGGGCACGGGGAAGTGCCCGGGGGGTGCAGGGCTGTGCCAAGGGGATGCCAGGGAGTGTCCAGGGGGTGCAGGGCTGTGCTCAGCTGATGCAGGGTTGTGTCTTGGGGATGTGGGGCAGTGCCCGGGGGATGTGGGGCAGTGCCCGGGACGCGTGGGGCTATGCCTGGGGCTGCAGAGCACTGCCCAGGGGATGCCAGGCTGTGCCCGGGGTGCTGCAGCCGCTTGGGACAGTGCATGGGTGCATGGCACTGCAGGCAGAGCCGGGAGCCCCGCTCTCTGGGTGAGCACCCAGACGCTTATCTGGGGGTCCCCAGGCTGGTGCAAAGCCCGGGGGTGCCTGGGCCCGGCCGGCGCGGCGGGGTGGCTTCCCAGCTGTTCTGGTAATGAATTTACATGAGCTGAGCGTGTCGACAAGGCGGCAGTCAATGGCTGAGAGCACCGGAGTTAATAAATGCTTGTATAATGAGGGCAGAGGGGAGCGCGCGCCGCCGTGCCGGCCGCCTCTCCTGGGGCCGGGGGGCAAAGATTAATCAACGCTGAGTGGCACTCGCAGCCCCCCCGCCCCGGCTCCCGCGGCACCCGGCCACCCTCTGCTGCGGGATGCTCCAGGGGTCTTCGGCATCACCGGTGCCTCGAGCTGCCCCCAGCCCTGCTGGGAGCTGGGGGGCTTGCCCTGGGCCCCCGCCCACCTGCCCACCTGGGAGCGGGGCTAATTTTAGGCTGGTGTTAATGAAGCTGCTCGTTTGGAAGTCTATTTTAAGGGCCCTGACATCAGCAGTTGCTGTTTTGGGAGGTGGGGAGCCCTGGAGCGGCTGGCTGTGACAGCTGGGGAGGGGGCATGGGGTGGGCTGCACCCTCCTGCTCAGCAGCACCCAAACCCCCACCCTTAGAGGTCGCCGTGCCCTATAGCGGCTCTGTGCTTTGGGGTGCGGTGATGGGGACTTGGGGGTACCATGGTGAGGATTTGAAGGTGCCATGGTGGGGAGGTGGGGGTGCTGTGGTGCGGATTTGGGGGTGCCGTGGTGAGGATTTGAAGATGCAGCGGTGGGGATGTGGGACTGCAGTGCTGGGGACCCAGGGATGCAATGTTGGGGATTTGAGAGTTCAGTGGCAGGGATTTGGGGGTGCAATGGTGGCAATTAGGGGTGCAGCGGTGGTGACTTGGGTTTTGGCAGCACCACGTGAGTCAGGGGAGTGCCCCCCTCCCCATGGCCTCCATCAGGATGCTGAAGTCCCCGTGTCCCCCCGAGACACCCCTCTCCCTCCTTGTGGGGCTCCACTGAGCCCTCCTACCCCGTTATCTGGGAGCAGCCCAGCCTGCGGGATCAGCGGGGCCGTGGGACGCTGGCGGCAGCTGCTGGCCCCCGTGTCGCCCTGTTTTCTGCAGGCAAGCAGCCCGGTCGCACTCGCTTTGTTAAATAAGCTGCCACCCTGCAAGCATGCAGGGCTCGCACCCACCTGCTCGCTTCCCCTCCGTTGCATGGGCTCGGGGTGCGTTTTGGGGTGGGGGGGATGAACTAGAGGGAAGGTCTTGCTTGTCCTGCTGGTTGTTCCTGCTCCCGGGGGGATTTGGGGATCTGCTGTCCCTGTCTAACGCAAGCTGCTCTTGTTCGCAGGCATGAGCCATGAGCCGAAGTCACCGTCCCTAGGAATGCTCTCCACCGCCACCCGCACCACCGCCACCGTCAGCCCCCTCACCCCCTCGCCACTCAATGGCTCCATCGTCCCCAATGGCAGCCCGGCAGCCAGCAGCACTTTGTCCGTCCAGGCAGCACCTTCCTCCAGCTTTGCCGCCGCTCTCCGCAAGCTCGCCAAGCAAGCCGAGGAGCCCAGAGGTAAGGGACAGGGACGGCGATGGGGACAAGGGCCAGGGGATGCTGAGCATCACTGCCTTTCCCCGCCACCACCCGGCAGCCGGCGGACGGCATTTTCTCGCCATTTCCCGAGCTAATGTCTTTCCCCGGTGTTGTGTCTCGAGGGGGCAGTTTAGAAATTCAATTCAGCTGGAGTAATCCAAATGCCGTATCACTTGCTGTACCCCGGGAGAAAGTCTGGGCGAGCACGGCGCAGGGGGGCCTGTCTCTGCCTCCCTGCCCCGCTCCCTCCCTCTGTGCTTCGCTGAAATGCTGTTTTTTCCAGAGGCTCCTCAAATCTGTTCCTTCCCCAGCCAAATTGCCCAGCTAAACAGCAAATTTGGGCATTCCCCGGGGTGTCCCCGTCCCTCGTCACCCTGCGATGGCCTGGCCGCTGCATCCTCCATTGCACCTCCCCTCTCTGCTCGGCTGTGGGGTGCAGCTCGCGATGGGGGGTGTGAGCTGCTGCCGCGGTGCCGGAGCACGCCGAGGTCCCCACCACCACAGGGAGCGTGTCCTGCGGGAATCACCGGGGCTGTCCCACGTTCCCGGGCTGCGAAGCATTTCACCAGGAGACTGCTGGCATCATCAGTTTGCAGCAAAATAGTATTTATCCCTGGTATTTCCATTGGTGGGTGCTCCCGGTTGGGTCATTGCCCACTGCCTGGGCACTTCTGTCCCTGGGGAGGACACCCAACCCTTTGGAAGATGTCTTTTGCGAGGCCCTGTTTGCAGGGTCTTTTTGGAAGACGCTTTTTGGAAGATCCTTTTTGCAAGGCCCTTTTTGCAAGACCCGTTTTGTAAGGTTCTTTTTGGAAGACCCTTCTGGCAAGCACCATCTGCGAGACCCTCCTTGCAGCCCCCTGCCATGAAATGCCCTGGCACGGCCATGACCCGAAGCGTCGGCAGCTCCCGAGGAAGCATGTGGGGACACCGGGACCCCGTGATGCCGAGGGGACCAGGTCTCGGTGATGCTTCAGCCTCGCTGCAAGCTCCAGGCTCTCCCCAGACGCCTGCTCTGCAGCCCATCGGCTTCCTTTGGGCTGGTCGGTTGGGTTTGGGGGATTATTTTGCGTTTCTGCCCCCGCCGCCCTGCTCAGCCCATCTGAAGGGACGTCAGTGGGTTTTGGCATGGATTTTGTGGCGCTGGGGAGAAGAAGCTGCGTTCCCTTTGGATTTCCCCTTAATTGCTCCTTAGTTTGTTTGCAAAAAAACCCCCTGTCCTTGCCCATCTGGGTGCCTGAAGTGGCTTATCCCGGAGGTTTTTAATAGGCGTGGGTTCAGATGTGTGTTGGGAAGGGGGTTTCTCTCCACACCACGGCTTTTACCCCTGGGAAACGAATTGCTTTGCCCCCAAATCCTCGCCCTGCTTCCCTTCCCGCAATGGGAGATGCTCTGCCGTGGCAGATGCAGCCGATGGGGTGATGCCGACCGGGTCCATCCAGGATCGGCACCTTTTTTACCGGCTTTATGGACTGACAATTGTGCCGCGACCGGGGTGTCCGTAGGGCTGTCCCCAGCTGCGGGGGCTCATCCCGACCGACTCCATCCCCGCAAAACCCCAAGAAGCCACCGAAGCCATTGCCTGGCCGGGGGCTCCTGCCTCCCGTCCTACCCAGGGCTGTCTGCAGGGTGGGTTTTATTCCCCCACCCGTCTTCCTTTCATTTCCCCCCCCTCCTCCTTCAGGGTCTCAGCTGTTAATTACATTTGCCTGTCAGCCTGGGCTGCTAATCTGCTATCGCTGAGCGGAAAGCGGGAGGTCAGAAAACAAAGGTGACACCATCACATTGTGCCTCTTGTCATCTCCAATCCAGATTAGTTTCATTGACTAACTCCTGGCTGAATACCACCAGTTAATTATAACGATCACAAACCCTCCCGTTTAAAGCCACACAGCGAGAATTAAGGTTCTGAAGTAAGACTTTAGCTTCATTAATTGCCGGGCTCATTGTGATGGTATTGATTGTTAACGCTATCGCGTGGTGAGTAATGGCTTCCCAGCTCAGAGGGGATTAGGCTGCTAATTGTTGTTGGCCTTGCGCTGACAAGATAGACTTCAGTGGGTGTCAAATCCGTATCGGCGGCTTCCTTTGTCGCGGGCAGCCTTTCTCTTTCCCCGAGTGTTGCCGCTCTTGAAATGAAAGCGATTCGGAGCGACTCGGGAATAATTAATAAGACAGGGCGGCCGGCAGCGGGCTGCTCCGCTTGGCCGCTCTGCTCCGCCGAGCATCCTTCCCGGGGCCTGGGGATGCTCCTGCCTCCCTGCAGCATTCCCGGCCCCGCTGTGTCCCGGCTCCCTCCCGGTGTTACCCTGGCGCTGGGGGCAAGCGTGGCGAGGATGGAGATGGGTTGCATGCTTGCAGGGCGAGGAGCTGCCTTGCATGCTCAGGGGAGCCAGCTTGCACGCTTACAGGGCAAGGGGCTGGCTTGCACACTCAGGGGAGCCAAACTGCACGCTTGCAGAGCGAGGAGATGGCTCGCATGCTCAGGGGAGCCAATGTGCACACTTGGAGGGTGAGGAGGCAGCTTACACTAAAGGGTAAGGGGCTGGCTTGCACACACAGGGGAGCCAATTTGCACACTTGGAGGGTGAGGAGGCAGCTTACACACTTACAGGGTAAGGGGCTGGCTTGCACACACAGGGGAGCCAATTTGCACACTTGGAGGGTGAGGAGGCAGCTTACATACTTACAGGGTAAGGGGCTGGCTTGCACACACGGGGGAGCCAACTTGCACACTTGTAGGGCGAGGAGCCAGCTTGCATGCTCAGAGAAGCTGGCTTGCACACTCAGGGGGGCCAACTTGCACACCTGCAGGGCGAGGAGCTGGCTTGCACGCTCAGGGGAGCTGGCGTGCACACTCAGGGGAGCCAACTTGCACACTTGCAGGGTGAGGAGCTGGCTTGCACGCTCAGGGGAGACAAGGCCTCTCTTGGTGCCAGGCTCAGTGCTGTGATGGGGAGCATTGTCACCTCTCGGCTGGCATCCTGTGGTGGCCACGGGCCACCCCTCGGCGGCCAGTAGCCGCTCCCTTCGGGCATGTCGGAAACCTTCCCTCAGCCCAGACTCTGGGCTGGTGGGAGCAGGGTTTTGGGGGGTAGGAGCCCCCCAGACTGCCGGGGTGGGTTTTAGGAGTGGGCAATGTGCTGCGGGGGCAGATGCCGGCTGCCGTGTGCCCTAGTTAACGTTGAATTTGTATTTCTGCTCCAGCTCTGCTTTTATACCCACATCGCACTCTCCGCTTTAATTCCATTTTTATTTTTCCCTTGCAAATATCGCCAGCATCCCCAGGGTGGGTATAATTTAAAATACAGATGTATTATGGAAATACAGCCAAAGCCTTGCCCAAGGGTTACAGGGAGTGACTCCTTCATCCCAACATCTCCAAGTGCCCTGGCTCCTGCATGGTGACTTTTGCAGCCGGATTAAGGAGTCTGCGGGTTCGGCCTGAGAAGATGGGGCCTCCTGGGATTGGCATCGCGTCGGTGTCGCTCGTGCCAGGCCGTGGCAGGGCTTGCTGTGCCCATAGAGGGTTTTATGGGAGGCAGGGGGGTTGGCAGTCCCGGTTAAAGAGGAGCAAGAGCGTGCCCGTCCCACTGCGTGGGCCAAAGCCTTTTAGCACTGGGGGTACCTCCCTTGGGACAGGGCTCCCCGGGATGGGAGGATGGGGGTCCAGCCTGGGGGGCTGGAGGGATGCCGACCACCCTGCGTGTATCCCCGTGCCCCATCCCTGGTCCCTGCAGTGGGGCATCCCGCCAGGGATGGCGTGGGATGGCTTCAGCTTATTCGGAGGGTGTTTTCAGCTGGTTAACCTTTTTCCCCCACTTATTTACGTTTTTCAGGGTCCTCGATAAGCAGCGAGTCGTCCCCGGTCTCCTCGCCAGCCACCAACCACAGCTCCCCCGCCAGCACGCCCAAGCGCGGCCCCATGGGCCCCATCATCGTGCCCCCGGGGGGGCACAGCGTGCCCAGCACGCCGCCCGTCGTCACCATCGCCCCCACGAAGACGGTCAACGGGGTCTGGAGGAGCGAGGGCAGACAGGTACGGCCGCGTTTGGGGTGTAGCAAAGGATGGAGGCAGTGGAATGCCATGCATGGCACTGATTGTGCCAACCGTGGTCCAAGGTGCTGGGAGCCACACCGCCACGCTGCTCCTGAGAGGCCATGGGGCCGCCCCCCCATTTTGTCCCTTCTCCTCCCTGCCATCGTCCCCGGGCTGCCATCCGAAGGGGAGAGTGAGGAAGAAGGGGAGGGGGGGGGTTGGCTAATTAAGAAGCATCGTTAGTGGTTCTCCTCTCCTCCGCACGCTACAAGCAGATTCCCGGGGGGATTATGCCACTTGGAAAGACTAATTAAACCACAGAGAGGCGATGGGAGGGGATGAGAAACGCTGAGGGCAGGGGGGAGAAAAATAAATTCAGCGATCCCCGGGTGCTCGGAGGGGTGCGTGGGGTGTCCAGGTGCTCCCCGCCCCCGCGTGTCCCCCTCCGTGTCGCCTCCTCCCCAGTGACCCCCGCAGCACGGGGGTTAACCGAGCGTGGGTTATTGTCTGGCAGAGCTGCGCTCGCAGCGTGACGCCCCGAGACGGGGAGGTAATTAGAGCAGAGCCTGGCACGCACAATAAGCCTTAATGCAGGCGGCAGGAGGGGACACACACGCCCTTTGTGCCGGCCGCGGTGACCTTGGGACTGTCCCTGACGGCCGGGGACCTGGACCTGCCCTGGAGGGTCTGGGGGACAGGATTGGATGGGGAGGGGATGCACAGCGGAGGGGATGCTGGGGGCTGCCACCATCCTCCTCATATAGCCACCGAATGGAGAAGATGCAAGGAAAAATAATCATTTTTAAACCCAGCCTTGCCTTGCTGGAGGTCACCCCCCTAATTACCGGACCCTGTGTGGTCCCTTGTCACCCCCATGGGTCCCTCCTGGCCAGTGGGTCCCTCCCCAGCCGGCGTGGGCATGAGGAGGGAGCAACCTTCGTCCTGGCGCCGGGGATGGGGAGTTGATGGAAGACGGGTGAGGCCCCGTGGCGCGGCAGGGTGCTGATGCCGGCCTGTCGGCGGGGCCTGGGGGACGCCAAGCTGACCCCCGGTTTATGGCCGTTATCAAAGGGCCGCTGGATTTCCACCGGCCGTGTCTGTATCCTCCCCAGATGATTAATAGCTCTGGAGAACAAAGTGGCCCGTAAATCTCCAGGCAGGTAACATGTCCTGCTGTCAGCCCTGCCCTGGCTTCAGCACCCCCTCTCCTGCCAGCATAGCTCCCCCTGGACCTTCATGCCCCTCCGGCCCGCCCTTCGACAGGAGGGATGCGGGAGGATGCTCCGGTGGATGCATCCTCCCCCGGGTACCGGTGCCAGCCGGGGACCCTGCGGGCAGCCTGGGAACCTGCTGAGGGTCCTGGGGTGGGGAGATAACAGGGGACCCCCATCCTTTGTGGGGTCCCTGCCACCCCCTAACACCCGGCTTGGTGTTTCTGCCTCTTTGCCTTCCAGCAAGAAGCAGGGTCACGAGGCAGCAGCAGCAGCAGTGGCCGTGAGCGCCTCATCTCCGAGCCCCCCCTCGTGCAGGAGAAAGCGGGGGGCCCTGCTGTCCCCTCCCACCTCCTGGGGACACCCTACTCCTTCGGGCTGCCCCCCAGCTCCGTGGTCCAGGACTCCCGCTTCCCGCCTCTCAAGTGAGTCTGGTGGCAATGGATGGGGGGGTGTCACAGGGTGCGGGCATCCCCTGTGAGGTCTGGTCCCACCGAGCATCCCAGGGGGGTGACATCTCCCCAGGAGGACAGGGTGGGATGGTGACCATCTCCCCGCTCCCTCAGCCTGCAGCGGCCGGTTCACCACGTGGTGCCTCCCAGCGCCGTCACCGAGGATTACCTGCGCAGCTTCCGTCCCTACCACACCGCCGAGGACCTCCGCATGTCCTCCCTGCCGCCCCTCAGCCTGGATCCAGCCGCCGCTGCTTACTACCACCCCAGCTACCTGACACATCACCCCTTCCCGCACCCTGCCTTCAGGTGGGCATCGCCGAGCTCGGACCTGGGGGTCCCCGGGGGGGTGTCGGTGGCCGGAGGACGAGCCCTGGGGGCTGGGGAGGTGGGAGCCTGATCCGGAGAGGATGGCTGGGCTGCGCTGGGGGCATTTTGGGGCTCTCCAAACCCCTCTCCCAGCAGAAGGCAGTCCCCATCCAGCCTGGGATCGCTCCCAGAGCGGGGAATTGGGGGTTTCTTTCCCCCACCCTGAGCAGCACATCCCGCTGAGCATCCCCATCTCCCCAGGATGGACGAGTCATACTGCCTGTCAGCGCTGCGGTCCCCCTTCTACCCGCTGCCAGCCCCAGGCTCGCTGCCGCCCCTGCACCCCTCGGCCATGCACCTGCACCTCTCGGGGGTACGGTACCCCCCTGAGCTCTCGCACTCCTCCCTCTCCGCCCTGCAGTCTGAGCGCATCTCCAGCCTCGCCGCCGAGAGGTAAGGGGCGGGGGGATGATGGCCGGGGGACGGGGACGGACAGGGCACCCCAGGGGATGCTAACAGGCATTTGGGGGTTGTTTGGGGTTTGGGTTTTTTTTTTTTTTTTTTTTTTTTTTTTTTTTTTTTTTTTTTTTTGGCTCTTCTTTGCAGGCTGCAAATGGACGAGGAGCTGCGGCAGAGGGAGCGGGAGCGGGAACGGGAGCGGGAGAAGGAGCGGGAGCGAGAAGCCGACCGGGAGCGGGAGAAGGAGCGCGAACGGGAGCGGGAACGAGAGAAAGAGCTGGAGCGGGAGCGGGAGAAAGAACGGGAACGGGAGCTGGAGAGGCAGCGGGAACGCGCCCGGGAGAAGGAGCTGAGCATGGTGAAAGCCATGGAGGGGCCCTTCCTTCCCGTGGCCGAGCTGCACGGGCTGCGGGGACACCCAGCCGAGGAGCGGGGCAAACCGGCGGAGCCACTGGCGCCCGGCAGACCAGGTAACGTCCCCGCGGGTGACACTGGGGGGGCTGCCGCCTTCGGCGCAGCTTGCCACGGTCCCCTTTCCCCTCCAGATGGCAAAGCCGAGGGGGTCGGTGGCCCCGGGAGGTGGCTTGGAACGGAGCTGGGCTCACCCGGCTGCCAGCTCGCATTGCCAAAAGCCCAGCTGCCACGGCTCTCAGAGAGGCGACGCGGTGCCTGTGCCATCTGACTCGGTCCGGGGCGGCAACGCGCCCGGTGCCGTGGCACGCCTGGCAGCTGGGCTGGCAGCGAGCGGGCAGTGCTGGGCTCTGGCTGGCGGCTGCCCCATGGCTTCGGGTGCCTCTTGCCTGCAGGGATGCTCGGGGGGGGCCCTGCGCACCCCAAAACAGCCTGATAGCCAACAGATGGCCACGGCTAGCCCCCTCTTTCCGTGCCCTGACTCTCTGGCACCCCCTTTCCAACCCAGAGAAACTCAAGGACTCAGTGCTGCCGACGCCAAAGCCCATCCAGCACCCGCTGCACCCGCCGCCGGCCACCCACCACCCTGTGCCCAGCCTCATCCCCAACCACAACGTGTTCCCGCTGCCGGGGAGCAGCGCGGCCACGGCGCTGCTCATCCACCGCACCAATGAGGAGGAGAAGTGGCTGGCCCGGCAACGCCGGCTGCGCCAGGAGAAGGAAGATCGGCAATCCCAAGTCTCAGAGTTTCGGCAACAAGTGCTGGAGCAGCACCTTGACATGGGGCGCACCCCGAGCCAGCCCGAGCCCGAGCATCGGCCTGAGCACCCCAGGTAGGGACACTGCCAGCCCCGCTCCAGGGATAGAGCTTCCCCCTAAAACCTAGTTGCATTTTCCCACGTCGCAGCCATCCCTGTTGCAATATCTATAGGATTTTCCCCCCATTGCCCTGCGGCTTTGCACCCCCCCGTTAGCTGGCTCCAGCCCCCCTGTTAGGTAGCCAGCATCCCACAGCCGTGCCCCTCGCTCCTTGCACGTCCCTGTGAGCAGAAGCCGCCGTGCTTGGCCGGCGCCAGCAGGTCCCTGTCATGCGGTGCCAGCCAGGCCGGCTGCGCTGGCAACGCCGGGCGTTGCCGGTGCCCGACATCTGCGCGGCGGCAGGCAACGAGCCTGGGAGGTGGCCGGGGGCCAGCGGCGAGCAGCCAGGTGCTGCCCAGGCACCCGGCACCGCTAATTGCAGCTCCCTGCCGTGCAGCGGACCCAGGCGGTGGGATGCCCTGTTCTGGGGGGCACCCGCCCCGAACCCGGGTGGTTTGGGGGGGGCAGAGGAGCGTGCCTGCACCCCCTGATTGACAGGGGCTTGCTCACCCCCATTGCTGAGCACTTAAGCAGCACAGGCTCATCCAGCCGGCTCTGCCGCCAGCTCCCTTTGTTATTTTTGGGTATCCAGGGGATTAGCGTGGCTCATCGAGGATAATAAGGAGCAGATCGCGGGGCAGCACAAAAGACAGTGCCTGCCGCAGGCTCCCTTCTCCATCCGCTCCTCCCGCCCCAAACCGGAGAGAAGAGAGCAAGGTCACCCCAAAATGCCTGCAGCTGGGGGATACCCCATCCCCATTCCCATTCTGTCCATCCTCATCCCAGAGCTGCCCGCATCCAGTGGGGAGGGAGAGGGCCCGATCCCCGGCAGGGCAGGTGATGCTTCCCATCCGCGGTGACACGGTGCCGGGGCAGCGGATGGCGGCGCGGAGCTGAACTCACTGCTCTGTGCACGGAGGTTCAGGGCACTGGAGCGGAAAAGCGTTAAATGCACAGCTTGGGCGCATGAAATATTTATCCCGCTAACGGGCTGGCTCCGTCCCTGGCTGTCGGAGGAGGGTTGCACCAAGGTGCTGCCCTTGCTGCGGGGAGAGCAGGGCTGTGCCAGCACCCGTGGCTTTCTTGTCCCCGTGGTGGGCAGCCGGGGGGGGTCAAGCCTGGGGTCCGCTGCCTGGCACGCTGGGGATGCAGCCACGTCCCTGCTCAACCCTGCCCCCCATCCCTCGGGGTGGTGGCACAGGAGGGGACGAGTCTGGCAGCCCCATGTGCACAAACCCCTCCGGGTGGCCCTAACCGGCACGTTTTCTCCCCCAAAAGCAGCCCAGTGCCAGGGTGCGTCCGGCTCTCCGGCAGCAGTGCCAGCCCCTCACCTCTCCGGTCCTCTCCTCTCCCCGCAGGTCAGGATCGAGCCGCCACGAGCCGAGCGGCCGGGAGCCAGCGCAGCACTTCGGCGGGCCCCCACCGCTCATCTCCCCCAAGCCCCAGCACCACCCCGTCACCACGTCCCTCTGGAACCCCGTCTCGC